TTTTTTTGGCTAAAATGCTCCAATCTTTAATTATATCAATATTCTTACATACCATTTATAGTTGATCATTTTAGAAAAAATAAATATAGATCTTTTCAGAATAGGTTTATGTCCGACATCGTTCTTGACTCGATATTCTTTTAAAGTACTTAACATTGAATTTAAATTTGAAAGTATAGTTCGAAACATTTTTTTTTAATCATCTTTGATTTATTTACATTCGATAATGAGTAAGTGTTTGTTATTTGATTCAAATAAGTATGTCATGCTTTTCTAAATATAATTTTAGTAAAAAGAAAAAAAAAATGACATTTTCTCTCTTTATAAATTTCATCTATTCTTTCAATCAATTGTTAACTATTCACGACAACCAATTGAATAAAACGAACGAAAGACAAAACAAAACAAATATCTATTAAAAAAAGGTTTTACATTACAATCATATTAATTTTTTTTTCTAAATGTATTCTTCATGTTTTACGCATAATTTGTGTTAACTATTTATTCATTCATGAATAATATTTCGTTCTTCTTTTTTCTCTTTCAATTTTTCTTTTTTACCTTTCCTTACTTTATGCGCATAGTAATGAATCGATACACAAAATATTTATTCGCGTGATATGTCATAAAGGATACCATGTCTACCTTGAGTATGTAGACGTACATTAGTATCATATCTAATAACTTGTCAGTTGTAACTTTTTTCATTTCATAAGTATATATGTATATTTAAGCCTGCTCATTTATCATAATTTACAGTTAAATAGGATTTTCAATAATACAGGTAAGTTTATAGAATGTCGTTTTATCTTAATCGTAATACTCAAATCAATTATTATTGATTTGTTTGATAGTATATTCACAACTATATATGTAAACAATTGATTATTATTATTTAATAAAAATATATTAAAGAAGAGTAAAGATAGAAATTGATTGAGTGTATCAATATTAAGAAATTATTCTATTATACTCTTTACAAAAAAAAAAAGAAACTAGACATAGTTCAGTAAAGTCTTCAAGTTTATCTATACTATTTAAATTTTATTTTAATAACGATAATATATATATGTATTTTTTAATCATTACAAATCTAGGTAAATGGCTCAACCTCATCGTACACGCATTGTTCGTTTTCCAAAACAAGAACATGAAATTCATGTAATCGATAATCCATTGAATAGACAAACTAGAAAAAAAACTTCTTCACCATTTCGTACACCAAGTCTTCTTCGAAAACAAAGTAGTATTTTATCTAAAGATGATTATCAAGCACCATTAACAGCAGATTCTTTTCAACCAGATTCTCGTTGGTTAATTGTACGTCGTAATTTACATCGTATTCGTCTTATGGGTTTTAATAATCTTGGTAAAGAAGGTCGAGTATCAGATTTATATTTAGGTTTTCAAATGACACGTGAATTAAAACGTGCACGAGAAGAAATAAAAAATGTTGATAAAGAAAAAGATTTTCATTTAATTAAAGAATTTTCTTTATCTAATCAAAATGGAAAAAAAAAAGTATTTAATACAAGTCATATTACTCCTGATGATGCACTTATTTATGATCGTCTTGGTGAAGAACCATTAGCATTACAAAATTTACTTTATTATTTTAGTAAACAAGAAGTACAACAAGGAACTGTTTTTTGGGATTTTTTAAATGAAGTTAATCTTGTATTAAATTTAAAACGTAAACGTACTGTTTTAGTACAAAGATTAAGACGATTAGCATTAACATTAGCTATTATTATGTATAGTATTATTGGTTTTATGCTTTTTTTAATGCTTATTAGTGTAATAACAACAGCAACAAAATTAAATGATCCTGAAGTTGAATGGATGACGGAAAATATTGAACAATATAATGATAAACAATTATTATTAATATAAATATAAAATGTATATATTTTTTGATTTAAATTTATAGAAATTTTTTAATAAAAAGTCTTATTTATTTATTTATTTATTTGAAAAATTTATTATTATATTAAAATTTTCAAGTAACAATAGAAAAATAATTAAGTTTCATTAATAATATAAAAAAGACATTGAAATGCTTCATTAAATTACACATCGTTTTCTGTTTTTTTATACATTAATATATAAACATTTATATGCTTGTTAACTAAGTAATATACTAATATGCTAGAAGAAAAAAATCGATGATTTCTATTGGTTGATCAAAAGATAATTGATGTTTTTTATTTTTAGAATATTTGAAGAATGATACAGAAAATAACATTGAAAATGATTAAATCTATCCGGAAAATTTTTCTCTTAATACAGGGAAAAAAAATATTTTTTTCTCATGAATAAATGCAGATAAATAATAATGTATTAAAAATATTCAGGTGAACTTTATTGAAAGCAAGATAATATCATACTAAAAATTTTGAATGTATGAAAGAAAAGATGATAAATAAATTGTTGAAAACAAATTCAAAATCTTACATATATTAGTTTTTTTTTTTTTTTTTGTTTCATCAAAACAATATTTATTTAAATAGACACTTAACAAATACAGACAAACATTTATTATTATTCTGTAAAGATGAAATAAATAAAAATTAATTCTTTTTTTTTGTTTTTGTTTTTATCTTATATAATTCAAATAAAGATAATACAATAAAAATAAAATATATAATTTTCTTCTTATTATTTTTCTTTTATTCTTTTATAATTTTTGGTATATTTATATTCATATTCGTATGATTAATTGTTGGTACGAATAAAATTTCATTAGTTTCTTTATTATCCATATTATTATTTTCTAAAATTTCTTCAACACGTGAATCTAAACTTCCTTGTCGACTTATTGGTAATGATGATGTTTTTATTGTTAATAAATTTTTTTGTTGATCAGTATTTATCATATAACCATCCATACTCATTTGTTTATTAATTGTTTGTTGACCAAGAAAATTTTTTGTTCGTCGTCGTGTTGATATTGGTAAAAGAGCATTTTTTAATCCACGTTGATGTAATTCATGTGTCATTGTATATATATTATTTGTATTAAGTGGAAGCATAGCAGCAAAACTTCCATTAATTAAACATGGACTATGTGGTGTATTTGATAAAACAAGTGACATACGAAAATCATCATGAAGATTTTTTATTTTATTACGTCGTTCTTGTGGTGTTAAATTAGCTAACGGACGTAAAATTTTACTAGCTGCTATTTGAATTATTTTCCAATCACGATTTATATCATCTGTATTTGTTGATGTTGCTGTTACTGTAAAACGTATTATATATTTACCTTTAATTGATGCTGGTACACAATGAATTTGTCCACTACCATTAATTTCTTTTAATAATTGTTCAGTTAATTCATTATCACCTTTTAAACGAAAAACAACTAAACCAAGATGTCGTTCAGCTGGTAATTCAAAACGATCATCATTTTTGACTAATGATTCAAATAATATTCCCATTCGAACACTCTAAAAAACAAAAAAAAAGAAACAAATCACGCAATCAACTTTAATAATAATAATAATAAATAGATTTATTTATAAAACAAAAATTTTCTTACATTTCGAATATGTTTTTGTAAACCTTCAACACCAAATGAACGAATAACAAACCAAAGTTTTAATGCACGAAATCGACGACTTAAAGGAACTTGCCAATGCTAGCAAAACAAAAATTAATGCAATCGTTGCAGAATTAAAGTATAAAAATATTTTAGAATACACATTTCTTTATCACCTTTTTATTTTATTCTCCAGATATGTATAACGAGATGTTATCGATATACAATCTGTTACGGTGAATATCCAGGCGAACATTAGATGAAAAATTGAAAGTGTACTTTTTGATGGTTTAAGGCCCCCCCCCCCCTCCCTCAGAAACGATTTCCACTTAAGATGGTCCTTTTGGGCTGAAATTTTTAGGAATGAGTGATCTTGGAGAGATATGCTTCTGGTAAAAATTTCAGATCGATTGGTCGCACTAGACCGGATTTTCAGCTGATTCACAGGTCATTTTTGACCTTCAGGAGAATCGATATAACTTCGTCGTAAGATGAAGTAGAGAGCTCGGGTTGGTGTCAAATTAAAGCCAATGTGAGTACGCAACTTTTGTCCGAACAGAATTTTGAAATTCTGTCTCATGCATTTTTTATGAGCATTTTAGTGGGATGGTCTTAAAATTAGCATAAAAAATGGGGGTCCAACGACAGTAAATCCCACTTTTCTCAGTCCAGGAACCAACTATAAAAAATCCGTTCGGACAAAAATTTACCCTCATTAAGACCTTTAAAACAAAAAAAAAATTATTGGTTATAGTTTGAGACAGGACGGAGTTATTTCAATTTTTCTGTCTGGAAACCGTATTTTGAGAAAAACGCTAAAGAAATTTTAGAACTGGATTTTTTCATTCAATTCCAGAAACAATCATATTACAATGGTATATTATTAATTCATTCCAGTGGATCGTTTTAGACTACGTAAGAGATGAAGGTAGCTAACGCCATCTGACATACTGGGTAATATAAAAGTATTCTACTCAACGCTAATGCAAGTGGCAACGCAGTTTTTCCAAAACTGAAACACGTGAAAAAATCGCGAAAATATGGTAGTAGAGTCAAAGTTTTATATGATAAGTCTTTGAAAATCTGGTCATTTTCCAAAAACCTATATATATTCTGAAAGAGAAAGCTTCACCGCATCTCCTGTGATAAAAACTCAATTTCGATATTCCCTTGAAAAATTTGATTTTCTAAGGGGGGGAGGGGACCTCTTAAATAGGACAACATTTAATTTGACCTATGGGTTATTCAAGGTCCCCTCCCTCAAAGATTGATCTCAGCCCAAGAAAATACAAATTGCATGAAGTTTTCAAGATATGTTGGAACTAATATGGGAAGGCTATGGCAAAATTTTCAGTCCTATATCATAACGTTTGACAAAGATATTCACCAAACAAGCTCGATCGTACCTTCAAGAATTCTCTGTGAACCTTCATTCTATAGATTTAAAATTTTTTCTTTGTTTGAAAGCTTGTATTTAGGGCTAGTCATTCTCGTGGCCTTTTTTAAAATTCTTACTTTTTGAATGACAAGTTAAAAAACCCCTAAAAAAATGGCGCTGTGTCTATAAAAGTGTTTTCTTATGTGATAATAAAAAAGAACTACGAGAGGTGCTAGCCATAAACACGTGCTTTCAAGCAAAAAGAAAATGTTATTGTCTACACTGAAGCTTCTTCGAGAATTCTTGGAGATACGATCGAAAAATCTATAAAACGAAAAAGATTTTTGGTGGTTTTTGTCGAATACAGGATGGCGAAAATCTTCAAAAATTTTTTGTTATGTATGAGAGATCAGATCTTTTCCTCCGTTCATCTTAATTTCGATCATTCTGACGAAAATACGACTTTTTTAAGGGGTGAATCTAAATGACATAAAAGTCTTTGTTCTTTTTGTTAGTATCAGTCAGAAAATACAGAGAAAACTTCATTGAAAAATGCCACTAGTAAGAATTCGGGAAACATTTTTACTGCGAAAAGTTAGACGAAACTTCTAGAGAATGTCCCTGCACTCATAACACCTATCAGAGCTGAATTATAGACGTTCAAGATAAAACTCGTTTGTAGAAATACTTCTATTGAAGATAAACTTCATATTTGAACTCAACATCAAAAAACTGTACCGAACGAAAAACAAAAGTTTTTTATTAAATTTAACTTTTTCGGATTATGTTGACATTGGAAAGATGATAATGCGTGATTCAACCAACAATAAAATCTTTTTAAGGTGTAAAATTTCGCATATCCGCTTGTTCTATGAAAAGACGTTTTGCTAAAATCTGCAGTGATCTGTGAGAAGTGTAAATTACTACTCTATATTCTTCAATAATCCTTTTTCAATCGTGTTTCATTAACAAACGTATATTCATAAATAAACATAAAGAAAAAAAGAAAATGATTTTATTAATATTACCATATAATCAATTGCTACACCTGCATTTTCATGTTGAAGATATAATGGATCAACATTGAATGCTCGATGAAGTGCAGCACTTGATTTTACCCTAAAAGAAAATGAAACTAACGATATAAAATTTACATCTAATTTTTTTTTTGTTATCTTTACCACATTGCAGTACAATCGAAATGTACCTAAATATATGAAAATAAATTTAATTAGAAAAAAAATAAAAAAAAATTAACCATCATCCATTTCGATGGATTAAATGCAAATGATTGAGTATATTCTACTCCATCCATAAAATGTCGAAATTCTGGACAAATAAAAGCACTTCCAGCATAAGCTGCATCAACATGTATCCAAATATTTTCTCTTTCACCTATTTAAATTTATTATTTATTTACAAAATAATGTCAAAAAAAAAACATTTACATATTGCACCAAGTTCAACAAGATTATCAAAAGCACAAGCTCCAGTTGTACCTAAAGTTGCACAAAGCTAAACAAGAAAAGTAAAATTATAATATTTTCTTCTTTTCTTTCTTACATAAAATGGAATAAGACCATTTTCTTTATCATTTGCAATAGCTTGTCTTAAAGCATTACCACGTAAACGTAATTTATCATCACTTGGTACAAGATGAAGTTTAACTAAACCAATAAGACAAGCTTTTTCTACTGATGAATGAGCTTGATCAGAACAATAAGCAATAAGACGTCCATTTATTTCAGCTGGACTTAAATAAGGAAATTGACTTTGAACACGACGAATAACTTCTTTACGAGCAGCAAGTAATGCTACAAGTGTTGCTTCAGATGCTGTTGTCTAGAATAAATTTAATTTGTATAATCTCTAAAAAACAAAAAGAAAATCTTTTTTTGTTTTCGACTTACTTGAATTACACCACCACCAGTCGTATCAGCATGTGAATGAAGAAAATCATTAGGTAATCCAATC